GGCCACAGGGGGAATGAAGGCTCAGCATTGGGAAGAGGGGCATTGGAGCTGGAGTTTTCAAGGGTGAATAGGAGTTCATCAGGCCAAAAAGGTATTCATTCATTCAACATACATTCCTACCCACCCCTGTCATGCTGACTCCACACTGGGTAACATGGATTGAGCCAGACAATGGGAACTGAGGCCAGGCAAGGACAGAGGATGGGGTGGGGACATTGTTTGGGGAGTCTGGAAGACTGTGTTCACTGGAGGAAAAATATGCAGAGCCAGACAGACATCCCTCATCCCATGAGGATCAGGCAGAGGGGCCAAGGGTGACTGAGCCCACAGGGGAATTGAAGGTTTGTATTGGGAAGAGGGTCATTGGGGGCTAGGGTTTTAGAGGGTGAGTAGGAGTTCATCAAGCTAAAAAGGTATTCATTCATTCAACAAGCATCCCTACCCACCCCTGTCATGCTGACCCCACATTATGTAATAGGCATTGAGCCAGAGGATGGCAACTGGGGCCAGGCAAGGACAGAGGATGGGGTGGGGACATTGGGGAGTCTGGAATAATGTGCTCACTGGAGAAAAAAAATCACCGTCTTCCAGGGAAGGTCAAGGCAAATGTGCCAATCCCCAACGAGCAGTAGACTCTGGAGCTAGAACGCTAGTCTCCAGCACCTGAGAACAACAGCATGTGTCGGAGGATGGTTTTCAAGGAAGGGAGAAACCACATTCCTTGTGCGGATGTGAAGAGAACACGCAGAAGCTCTTGTTTAATCCGTTACTGGCGAGGGAGCTGGTCCCGTGTTCGGAGGGGACCAGGGATCAGGAACGTTGACAAGACTTGTACAGGTGGACGCCAAACCGGCTTTCCCACAAGGTCTGGGCGGGGAGAGGGCCAAGTTGTCCTTTTTGTTAAAAATTAATCGCAAAGACCCTCCGTGGCAGGTCTTCTTGGATTTGTCCTGACGCTGGAGGTGTCCATAAGGGATCTTGGCGTGGACTTTCAAAAGCTTGTGTCATTTCCCAACTTGAGGCAACAAACTTCACCGGGTACCACCTGCAGCATCTCTAAGTTTAATCCAATTCCTCTCTTCTCCATGTGCCCGAAACGTCCTAAGGTTCTTGGTTGGCCAGGACCGCCCCGTAAGGCTGATCCAGGAAGCCAGATGTGAGGTCACTTTTCCCGGGAGGATGTCGTAGGCCCTGGGGCTCCCCAAAGTCAAGTTCAGCTTTTTAGCAGTGGCGGGTTGCGACACCTAATGGAGATATCTAGGTGTACGGACAGTCTTCTGGTACAATGTCGGGGCGCTTTAGCTTCAGCCCGGGAAGGTGAGTCTGTCTCCCAGACTTTCTCCCGCCCTCCTGTCACCTGTCCAAGGCAGGACCCTCATCCGATTGTAGGGTATGCGGTCCCCACTCCCGAGGGGGTCTGGCCCCACAGCCTGGGGGAAGCAGGGCTGCGCGGAGAGGCTTAGGGGAGCCTGAACGGACGGGCCGTTAGTGTTCGATCGTCCCCTTTCATCCAGTGACATCTCTAGGTGGTTGTCAATCAGTCGTGTCCAGCGAAGGTTCCATAAGAGCCCGGGAGGAGGGGGTTTGGGGGGCTTCTGGGTAGCCGAACACGGGGAGGTTCCTGGAGGGGGGTGCACCCCCCGGGGAAGACGTGGGAGCCCCCACCTCTCCTATACATCTCTTCATCGGCCCCTCCGCCGTGCCCTTCATGGCAAACAAGTACAAGTGAACAGCGTCTCCCGCAGTTCTGTGAGCTCCTGTACAGCTTCCTCTAACCAAACAGGGGACGGCGGGAGCCCCCCGGGAGCACGGCGGTCAGAAGTTCCAGAGGCCCGGACTTGCCACTGGCACCGAATGGGGCGGGGCAGTCCCGTGGGACCGGGCCCTCACCCGGAGGGCTCTGATGCCACCTCCAGGTGGACAGCGTCTGAATTGAGTTGGGGGACGCCCGGCAGAGGTCTGATGCAGAATTGATTGTTCCGGGGTGAGAAACCCCCTCCCCAGCATATTTTGGGGTCACAGAAGGCTTCTGTCCTTGTAGATCGCTGTCACTGCTGAGTGGGAGAGTAAGAAAGAGCGCGCGGCATCGTGCGTTTCCACTGGTGACGGGTCCGACCGCAACAGTAGCTACTCTCCCTTCTGGGAGGGGACGTTCGGCTCCACTCCCACCTCCTGACAGGGCTGGGTTTAGTCATTGATTCCGAAGACTAAAATAGGGAAAGCGACACACAGTGACCGGACAGTGCGGCGGGACCCTGGCCACGCTGAGCCCTCAGGGAATGACTGAGGGAAGGTGTGGCAGGCAAGGGGACAGGCACGGCGGCGAGGGCACCGACACACCTTCCCTTCGGGGAACTCAGACCAGCCGATTAGGGACCTTGACGACACCCTCAGAGCCCCACGAGGGATCCGCGCACCACCGTGCTCACACCCGCCATGCTCCCGCGGCTCTCCCACGGTGAAGGTGGTGGGAGGACGCCAGGTGGGCACAGGCGAGGGGGACTTGAGGCCTGCACAGAACTGTGCCTGTCACACCTCCCTATGCAGGAAGGTGCCACATGCCCACATGGTCAGAGGCGAAGTCGTTTTCAATGACAGGCAAATCGCCACGCAGACAGAATTCACGGCTTTAATTCTGACATCTCAGCCGCGGGGCAGGAGTAAGCACAGTGTAAAAGAGGTCAAATTTTTCTCTAACCTTCGAGGATCTAAGGCTGGCACAGACAGAAGACAGATTTACAGGACAAAAGCAAGAAAACTATATTCACCGTACATGGGAGCACATACATAACTATGAGGACCCAAAAAAAGTGACCAGGCCTAGGTGTTCAAACGCTAGGTTCAACAAAGAGTGACGATCATGGAAAAGAAAGTAAGATATATGGACAGGGCTGGGCGCAGTGGCCTGTAATCCCAGCACTCCGGGAGGCAGAGGCGGGCGGATCCTTTGAGGCCAGGAGTTTGAGACCAGCCTGAGAAAGAGCGAGACCCCGTCTCCTCTGAAAATAGAAAAATTAGTCAGGCGTGGTGGCACACGCCTGTAGTCCCAGCTCCTCGGGAGGCTCAGGCAGGAGGATCGCTTGAGCCCAGGAGTTGGAGGCTGCAGTGAACTATGATGACACCACAGCACTCTACCCAGGGCAACAAAGTGAAACTCTGTCTCAAAAAAAATATATATATATATATATAGTGGGGGAAGGGGGAGGCAAGGGCAACATACGTAACCTAAACATCTGTACCCCCATAATATGCTGAAATTAAAATGTATATATATATAAACATATACATGCATAGAGAGAGAGAGACAGAGAGAGAGATTCAGAAAGGTAACAGTTATTTCATCAAGGTCTGTTTGTACAGATCTCTCTTGGCCTTCACGCCTTGTGATAATAATGTTTCTTCCTCCTGGGACAGGCAGTGTACCTTTCATGCGGGAATTTTGTTTTTTTTTTAATCAGAGAGGAACTGGCCTAATGCAGGAATTTTATCACCTGCTTTCGGGAAGAAAAACGAAGATCCGAGTGCCCTCCTTGCGTCTACTGTTTTTCAAGTGCCTTTAACTCAAAATAATCAATACGCCAAAGTGGCTTATTTGGGGGTGGCGTGTCCTGAACTTCTTCAACAGAAACATATAGGGTGCACAGGTTCCTACTTGTGTCCCAGCTACTCGGGAGGCCGAGGCAGGAGGATGGCTTGAGCCTAGGAGTTGGAGGCTGCTGTGAGCTATGATCTCAACACTGCTCTCCAGCCTGGGTGACAGAGTAAGACCCCTTCTCGAGGGGACTCCTGTAGCTGGCAGGCTAGCTTCTCTCCCCCAACAGGAGTTCCTCGAGGGCCTGGAAGCCCTGACCTCCCACGAGCCTCGGACCGGGAGAGAAGAAACGGGGCTCTTCTTTCCCCCACCCAGGGGCCCCTAGACTAGTGAGGCTCCCCTCCCCATGCCGGCTTCTGCTTTCTGGCCCAGCTGTGGCCAAGCCTCAGTCAGCGGGGCATGACCCGGGCCATGGTCAGGAGGCCCGGGCTCCTGGGGAGCCAGAGGGTGGGGGAGGGGCCGTCGGTGCAGGTTGGATGGGAGGCCTGGTCCCAAGCCAGGCGGGCAGCAGGGGACTCAGGCTGCCCAGTCCTGCCTAATTTCAGCCAGGGGACGCCCCCCACCCCGTGAGAGTGCAGGCTCCATCCTGAATGGGTCCTGGGCACCGGGAGATGCCCCCCTCGCTCACCGCTGTCTGCTCGTCTGTGGCCGAAGGCCCCGCCCCCTCCCCTGCAGGTGCATTGCTGGGGCCTCACGTCGCTGGGCAGAGCTGATGGCCGGGAGCAGAGGGAGATCCCGGGGCTCCCCGGGGGCCTCATGACCTGGGGCCCCTGCACCCGGTGGGCTGGGTTGGGGTCGGGCTGGGAGGGAGACCCCGAGATGCTGGCGGCGGCCAGAGGGGCTGGCCCCAGGGAGGAGGGCCCAGCAGGCACACAGGGGCTCCTTCCCCGGCGACCGCCCCGCTGCCCCACCTTTGCCTCCGCCATGGCGGCCTCGTCAGCGCTCCTGCCCTTCCTGCCCCCGCTGCGGCCCAGGAGTCCCAGGTGGCCCAGAGGCCAGATGCCTGCCAGGCAGGGACACTGACGAGGCAGGTGGGCTGAGCGGGACCTGCACCCTGTAGGGGCAAGGGACTCCACAGAGGAAGCCCAGGGCCCCAGGGGACACAGTTCTGGCTGCCGCTGAGAAAAGCCCCTTTCAATCCTCCAGTTCTGTGGTCACAGTCGTTTCCCCTTCTCATCCCATGCCTGGGACACGCCGCTGTCCCCTGCCCACCCCGGCGGGGGTTCACTGAGCACCCACTGTGTGCTTCTGGGGCAGGAGCTGGGTCCCCTCAGAAGGCACTGCCAGTGGCCCTGGCTGCAGGCTCGTCCCAGCCGGGAAGGGCTCACATGCTTCTGGGACGCAGCAAACACGCCCCAGAATCTGAGCAACTGGCTCTTGGCTCCAGAGACGCGGCTGCCTGCCTTGCTCTGCTGAAGCCGGAAGTCAGCATGTATCAGTCGCCATCTATGTTCAGCTTGATGTGGGAGAGGTTCATGTAGGTCCCTTGAGAGGAAGAATAAATGACTCATCTGGGTATAGGGCCTTGCTCAGCTCAGCACCAATGCTCTGGGGGTGAAGTGGCAAGAAATGCGCATGCATTAGGCTCCTGTGGTATGTGCATCTGAAGAGGCAGGGTTGAAGGGAATGACTCAGAATGTGCATGCATTGAGCCCTTATTGTATGCAGTATTTCTCGGTCAGGGGTTTCACCTGACCTGGAGGAAACGAAAGACTGTGCATACATTAAGTGCCTACTATTTGTAAATATGCGTCATGGCCCTTTTGCGGACACACTGAGGTTTAGGAAGGTTTAGGGACACAATAAACTACGCATCAAACTGAGGATTCTGTCTGGTAAGTTCTAGAAAGACTTCAAGATGAAGCGCCTACTGTTTGGAGCTCTGTTTCTAGAAAAGCAAGCAGGGCTCAGAGAAGTGGGGAGCTGGCCAGGGCAGCGCGTGCCTCACACCTTGTCCTCCTCTGCAGATTGGATCAGCCAACTGCGCTGCGCCTGCCGGTGCTCCCTGGCCTGAGACCTCTTCCCAACATGGCCTTGGCCCGGGAGATCCTCATTGTCACCCTGGTGCCCTATGGAAACGCTCAGGTGCGTGGGCACTGGGGAAACTGAGGCACGTGGGCAGGGAGCAGGCACCCAGCCTGCCAGCCAGCACTCGCTCCGCTGCCTTGCAGGAAAGGAATGTCAGCGGCAGGTGGGAATTCGAGTGCCAGCACGGGGAGCAGGAGTGCAGGCTCAACAAGGTGGAGGTGAGAGACCCCAGAGGCCGGGCGGGCTGCGCAGGTCTGGGGACACTGCCTGCTGTGCGCGAGGCGGCTACGAAGCTCTCGGCTCCGTCCCCACTCGTCACTCAGCGCAGCCTCAGAGGGCACCTGTGGTTATTCCCAGAGGGTGTTGGGGTGCTCTGGGCCCCCCTCACTCCGCTCCTGTTCCCCCGCCGGCGCCCAGGCCTGCCTGTTGGACATGCTGGAGGCGGAGGTGGCCTTCCTGACCGTTGTCTGCGTGGAGGAGTTGGATGACATGGAGAAAAATCTCAAACCAGTAAGTGACACCCTCCTTTGACAGGAAGAGGGGAGGGCGGCAGGCGGCCTTTCCTGTGCCCGGGCAGACACAGGTTCAAGTCCTGGCCCTGCCCACCCCTGTCTGTGCAGCCCCAGGGAAACAGCCTCCCCTCTGGAAGCCTCATCTCTGAATCAGGGGAACACAGGTCTCCCGGGGTCAGGAGTGGATCTGGGAGGACTTCTTGGAAGAGGCATCTCTGAGTTGGGCGTGGAAGGATGACCAGGAATGTGCAGGGACACGGATGAAGGGGTGTGGACATGATAGGACAGGCCCAACCTACTTCCCTGGGGGATTGTGAAAATTAACTCCCTAAGGACTGAGTCATCTGCTACCATCATTTATTCATTCACCAAACACGTGGACCACCTAAGACGAATCACTCAGAGACACCCCCAGGCCTGTAGGGTCAGACTGGGTCTGGTCAGAGAGGACACTGAGGAGACGCTGGGGAAGAAGGAGGAAGGGTGTTCCCGGCAGAGGGATCGGCATGTGCGGAGGCTCTGAGGACAGTGTGAGACCATGGAGGTCAGAAGCTGCAGGTCTGGTCTTAAAGGGGACGGCAAGGGGGCTGGGAGGCAGCAACAGCTGAGCCCCTACCTTGGAGGCAAGTATTAAGCACCTCCTCTCTGTGTCACTGTGAAAGCCGACTGTCCCCTCTCCCCAGTGAGGAAACAGGCTGGGCTCAGGGCCGCTGGGGGGACCGTTGGGCGATAACACGGAGGAAGCTGAGGCAACACCCCGGCCCCCCCAACCCCACCCAGTGCCTAGAGCTCTACGCCCCAGAGGTGTCACCAGACGCCATCATGGAGTGTGCCACGGGGGAGCGCGGCACGGAGCTCATGCACGCCAACGCCCAGCGGACGGACGCTCTGCAGCCGCCCCATAAATACGTGCCCTGGGTCACCGTCAATGGGGTAGGAGTCCCTGCACCCTCAGCTTGCCCCCGGGATAGGCCCAGGGGGAGGGGCGTGCCCGCCGGGCTGGGAGGCGGGAGGCAGGGGGCCCGCTGGGGACCACGTGCAGCCCCTTCTGGCCGGGAGCAGGATGCGTGCGTTGGGGAAGGTGGGATGGCGTGACCTCCTGTCTTCGTTGTTGCAGAAAGTCTTAGAAGACCCTAGCCAGCTCCTGGCCGTCGTCTGCCAGCTGTGGGAGGTGAGCTGGGCGGGAGCAGAGGGATCGGCAGGCGGGGGTGGGTTGTCCTTCCAGGACTGCGACCCTGGCTCGTCCCTTGCAGGGCGAGAAGCCGGACGTCTGCAGACCCCTGGCCAGGTCGCGCAGGAAGGTCTGCTTCAAGTGACGCCGCTGGCCTGGGAGGCAGCTGCTGCAGGAAGAGCGAGGGCCCAGCTGCTGCTCTTCTGTGACCCCAGCCCTCAGCAGCCACCGCGCGCCGCCCGGGTAACTTCGTGCATCTCAGGAGGCCCAGGTGGAAAATGCTGCCCCGGGATTGAGAATCCTGCCTCACTGAGAATAGTATTAAAATGAAACGTTTAATAAACCCTTCTGCATGCTGCGATTCATTTCACAAGTCAGCGATTCCCCCACTACGGACAGGCATAATGCAGGAGCCCCTGAGAGGCCTTAGATAGGGAGTCCCCTGCCCAGGGGATGCGGAGCCACACAGATATCCCTAGTCCCATGGGTCAGAAATGGATCAGAGGGAGGGGCCAGGGGTGAATGAGGCCACAGGGGGAATGAAGGCTCAGCATTGGGAAGAGGGGCATTGGAGCTGGAGTTTTCAAGGGTGAATAGGAGTTCATCAGGCCAAAAAGGTATTCATTCATTCAACATACATTCCTACCCACCCCTGTCATGCTGACTCCACACTGGGTAACATGGATTGAGCCAGACAATGGGAACTGAGGCCAGGCAAGGACAGAGGATGGGGTGGGGACATTGTTTGGGGAGTCTGGAAGACTGTGTTCACTGGAGGAAAAATATGCAGAGCCAGACAGACATCCCTCATCCCATGAGGATCAGGCAGAGGGGCCAAGGGTGACTGAGCCCACAGGGGAATTGAAGGTTTGTATTGGGAAGAGGGTCATTGGGGGCTAGGGTTTTAGAGGGTGAGTAGGAGTTCATCAAGCTAAAAAGGTATTCATTCATTCAACAAGCATCCCTACCCACCCCTGTCATGCTGACCCCACATTATGTAATAGGCATTGAGCCAGAGGATGGCAACTGGGGCCAGGCAAGGACAGAGGATGGGGTGGGGACATTGGGGAGTCTGGAATAATGTGCTCACTGGAGAAAAAAAATCACCGTCTTCCAGGGAAGGTCAAGGCAAATGTGCCAATCCCCAACGAGCAGTAGACTCTGGAGCTAGAACGCTAGTCTCCAGCACCTGAGAACAACAGCATGTGTCGGAGGATGGTTTTCAAGGAAGGGAGAAACCACATTCCTTGTGCGGATGTGAAGAGAACACGCAGAAGCTCTTGTTTAATCCGTTACTGGCGAGGGAGCTGGTCCCGTGTTCGGAGGGGACCAGGGATCAGGAACGTTGACAAGACTTGTACAGGTGGACGCCAAACCGGCTTTCCCACAAGGTCTGGGCGGGGAGAGGGCCAAGTTGTCCTTTTTGTTAAAAATTAATCGCAAAGACCCTCCGTGGCAGGTCTTCTTGGATTTGTCCTGACGCTGGAGGTGTCCATAAGGGATCTTGGCGTGGACTTTCAAAAGCTTGTGTCATTTCCCAACTTGAGGCAACAAACTTCACCGGGTACCACCTGCAGCATCTCTAAGTTTAATCCAATTCCTCTCTTCTCCATGTGCCCGAAACGTCCTAAGGTTCTTGGTTGGCCAGGACCGCCCCGTAAGGCTGATCCAGGAAGCCAGATGTGAGGTCACTTTTCCCGGGAGGATGTCGTAGGCCCTGGGGCTCCCCAAAGTCAAGTTCAGCTTTTTAGCAGTGGCGGGTTGCGACACCTAATGGAGATATCTAGGTGTACGGACAGTCTTCTGGTACAATGTCGGGGCGCTTTAGCTTCAGCCCGGGAAGGTGAGTCTGTCTCCCAGACTTTCTCCCGCCCTCCTGTCACCTGTCCAAGGCAGGACCCTCATCCGATTGTAGGGTATGCGGTCCCCACTCCCGAGGGGGTCTGGCCCCACAGCCTGGGGGAAGCAGGGCTGCGCGGAGAGGCTTAGGGGAGCCTGAACGGACGGGCCGTTAGTGTTCGATCGTCCCCTTTCATCCAGTGACATCTCTAGGTGGTTGTCAATCAGTCGTGTCCAGCGAAGGTTCCATAAGAGCCCGGGAGGAGGGGGTTTGGGGGGCTTCTGGGTAGCCGAACACGGGGAGGTTCCTGGAGGGGGGTGCACCCCCCGGGGAAGACGTGGGAGCCCCCACCTCTCCTATACATCTCTTCATCGGCCCCTCCGCCGTGCCCTTCATGGCAAACAAGTACAAGTGAACAGCGTCTCCCGCAGTTCTGTGAGCTCCTGTACAGCTTCCTCTAACCAAACAGGGGACGGCGGGAGCCCCCCGGGAGCACGGCGGTCAGAAGTTCCAGAGGCCCGGACTTGCCACTGGCACCGAATGGGGCGGGGCAGTCCCGTGGGACCGGGCCCTCACCCGGAGGGCTCTGATGCCACCTCCAGGTGGACAGCGTCTGAATTGAGTTGGGGGACGCCCGGCAGAGGTCTGATGCAGAATTGATTGTTCCGGGGTGAGAAACCCCCTCCCCAGCATATTTTGGGGTCACAGAAGGCTTCTGTCCTTGTAGATCGCTGTCACTGCTGAGTGGGAGAGTAAGAAAGAGCGCGCGGC